ACTAAGGGCATGGATGAACTCTCTACAGCAGCTTTGTAACCTAAGGCCAACTTTTCTTAGCTACACTATTCCAGAAGAAAGTTGTCTCTTGGTTGAACTAAAACAACTCTACCACCTCTACATTTTTTTGTATATGCTTGGAAATACATTGAGCTCATGATGACTGCAAGGCCTTCTTCTGTTGCATAGACCCTGAATTACAAACAAGTCCTCTTTCTTGTGTTATTAAATTAGTTTTTTTTTCTAAATTAGTCTGAAAACCTCAATAACTGGATTTTTAAAATGTTATTTTTTAAATAAAACAAACAAGCCAAAAAATTAAAAAAACAAACAAAAAACCCCAAACCAAACAAAACAAAACCATTGCATTCAGATAGAGGAAATAAAACAGATTAAAGGAAAGCATTATAAGCATTAAAAACAAGTATCATTTGCACTGTCTAGTCTTTTCTTTCAGAAAACTTAAAATGTCTTTCTGTATCATTCACTGTTTCTCAAAATATTCGTATAGTAGTTGGGTATAAGGGGCAAGTCCTACTGTCCATTGATCCAATGGTATTAGTCAAATAGTCAGCTTTGGGTTTAAATCAGAAAAAGCAAAGTTTATTGATTTTTAGCCCAATGAATTCTTGAGTTTGCCTTAAATGAAAATACAGTCACCTCAGGGGATGTGGGTCGGATAAAAAGGAAGCCACATGAGATTGTGTTTTTGTGCAGTCAATAATAACTTGGCTTCTTTTTAGAGGGCTTTTTTTTTTTAAAGATTTTTTTTGGGGAATTGGGGGAGGGGAACAGACAAGCCGCCGTCCCCGTGTTCTTCAGTCCAGCCATGGAGGAGGTCGCTCCACTGACCCATGTTGGTATTGTGATCATTGCGTTCTTCCCGGGTGAGACAGATCGGTCACCGGCCACTGGACGGCTGCTCTTGGCAGCTCATACTGGCTGCCAGCCACTCACGGTAGCTTACGGCAGCCCACTGCAGCCTCACTGCAGCCTACGCCGTCGCCGGTGACCCACAGCAGCCCAGCTCCAGGTCAAGCTGTCGCTCGCCATCCCAGCTGTAGAGGGCGCAGCGTCACTGACCCTCATGTGGGATCCGAACCCAGGGCCCCGCTCAGAGCCGCTGTCCCAAGCCAGCTCCCAAACAATGCACCACTCGGCCAGACCTTAGAGGGCTTTTATATAGGTTTTCACACAGTCCATAAAATCCACTATGCTTTTAATTGAATTCCATTGATAGAATTGTGATTATATCACACTGAGTATGACATCTGTAGAGGTGCGTTAATCAATTTTGTTTCTTTCAGAAGTTGAAGCTCAGAGTCTATGCTAAGAGACTCTGATGCTAATAAATAATGTGATTGTTAGCATTAATTGGGTGGTTACTCCATATGAGATGCCGTGCTAAGTGTTTTACTCGTTTCATTTAATCCTTACAATGATCCAATGAAGTATACCCAATTATTACTTGCATTTTACATATACAGAAACTAAGGGGCCAGCCAAGTGGCGCATTGGTTAATAGCTGGCTTGGGACGCCAGAGGGCCCCGGTTTAGATCCCACATATGAGGGCCAGTGACACTGCCCTCTACAGCTAAGATGCTGAACAACAGCTCAACCTGGAGCTGGGCTGCTGTGAGTCGCTGGCTTCTGCTAGGCTGCAGCCCCTGCTGCAGTGGGTTGCCATGGGCTACCGTGTGTAGCCAGCAGCCAGCGTGAGCAGCCAGCAGCCAGTGTGAGTGGCCAGCAGCCGCTGTGAGTGGCCGTCCAAAAGCCGGCAACTGATCTGCCTCGCCTGGGAAGAGCGCAATGATGGTGACAACTTGGGCCAGTGAAGCAACGTTCTCCACAACTAGACTGAAGAACAAAAAGACAGCAACTTGTCTGTTCCCCTTCCCCCAATTCCCCAGTGCTGTTCCCGTTCCCCAATTCCCCAATAAAAATCTTAAAAAAAAAAGAAACTAAGGAAGTTCAATAACTTGCACAATAGAAGTTTAGTTAGTTTTTTCCCAAATGAATTCACTAGTAATTATTTAGGCTTGGGGACTTTTTTTTTCATGGCATTTCAAGTCCCTCTAGGACACTTGGTAATTAGTCAAATTAACTTGAGTGTATTATGATGGTTGATTAAGCTACTTTCCCTTTGATTTTTCTCATAGAAACACACAGCAGTCTGTGGCACTGCTGAGATTTGAACCTGTGTGTGTTTTTCCCAATATCAGAGCCCACGCTTTGAGCCCATTTTGCTAGGTGGTTTCCCATTGCTAAAATGTTGAACATAATTAGGTGGAAGAATTAGGTCTGGAAGTTCCTCAAAAATAAAAAAAAATTAATAATTACCATATGATCCAGCAATTCCACTTCTAGATATATATACCTGAAATAACTGAGAACAAGGACTCAGCTATTTGTTCACCAGTGTTCATAGCAGTGTTATTCACAACAGTCAAAAGGTGGAAATCATCGAAGGTCCATCAATGGATGAAAGAATAAACAAAATGTGGGGCCGGCCGAGTGGCTCAGTTGGTTAAGAGCTCGCTCAAGTGTTTGAGCTCTGAGCAACAGCGGTTCGAGTCAGCCCGAGCTGAGCAGCCGCTGAGCTGCCAACAGGTGGCAGGATGGCTCAGCTTAAAAAAAAAAAAAAAAGAATAAACAAAATGTGGTATGTACACACAATAGAATATTATTCAGCCTTGAAAAGGAATTAAATTCTGATGCATGCTACAATATGAATAAGCCTTGAAAATATGCTAAATGAAAGAAGCCAGACACAAAAGGATGAATATGACATGATTCCACTTATATAAGGTACCTATAATAGAATAGTCAAAGTCATAGAGACAGAAAGTAGAGTAGTGGTTGCTGGGACCTTGGGAGAAGAGGGAATGGGGCGTTATTGTTTAATCACACAAAGTTTTAGTTTGGGAAGATGAAAGAGTTCTAGATGGTTGCCCAAAACTGTGAATATAGTTAAAGCCACTACACTAAATACTTAAGAATGGTTAAAATGTCACATTTTGTTATACACCATGTTATACACCAGGGGTGCCAAAAACATGTATACACATGACATGTATTCATCTTTTGTTATCGGTATGTATTGAGTATTACAATTTTAATACAGTTTTTCCCTTTCTTAAATTGCATATACATTTTTGGCACCTTTTGTGGCACTTTACCACAATAATAAAAAGTAATTAGGACTTAGGTTTGCAGTAAAATGTAAAGGCTAGAGCCACAAAACAAACCGATAGCATAATTTGAGATGTACTTTGTAAAAGTTGACTTAATGTTAATCAAATAAGTAAGCCCTTACTGTGTTCAACACTACAAATCTTATACTTTGTTTTCACTAACTGAAGAGCAACATAAGTAAAAAAGAGAACAAGTCTTTTAATATCAGTATCAGAACAACAGGAAATATAAAGTGTCAGGATGAATTCTAGCAAGAGCAGCTTATCTCAAGAGACAGCCAATAACGTCTTATCTCATTCCTTAATTACTTTCAAAGTAAACCAAAACTCTTTTCCATGAGCAAGGAATCTTGAAATATTACTTGGGAACATTGGTTTGAATTTTCTTCTCAAATCTATATATTGGGAATAACAAACACTTTGAAGGAAACATTTCATACTTTTTCATCACATATTGGGATTCTTTTCAGCAATATTTTTAAAGTAATCAAATTGGCTCATTTTAGTGCCCTAGATTCTGGCCCGATTTGATTCTTTATACTAAAATATGGAGATCAAGATGATATAAGCATTAATGTTCTTTGATTAGTCAGTGTTTTTTTTTCTTTGTTGACTTTGTTTTTTGGTCAGAAGCTTCACATCAATCAATTACAATTTTACTTTGTACTCAGCCCAGAGCTATCAAAGGAGCCAAATCAACATTATAGGATATACTGATTAAAAAATTAAATATAGTCCCATTTCATTACACACAAACTCGCCCTCATCAGAATGTTATGCTATAGGCAGCTATTTATTCCCACTTGTGTCATTGTTTGAACTTGGAACTTGCTTTTTCCTGTGCTTGAACTATTCTTCTGATGTCACTGCATGAGTGGCGTCGTCTCATCTTTCAGGTTTCAACTCAAATGTCAGCTTCTCAGAGAGGCCAACCCTGACCATACCCTATCTAACATGGTCTCTTACCATCACCCTGTCACTCAGAGTCATTTCCTTGGTGGCACTTGAACACTCTCTGAAGTTATCTGGATTTGCTTACTTGTCTGTTGGTTGCCTTCCACCATTAGGACATCAGCTCCGTAAAGGCCATCTTGATTCCTACTCCCTTCCTCATGTCTAGCAGAGTGGCAGGCTCATAGTAGGTGGCTTTGCTTTTCTGCTTCAGCCTTGCAACTGTGTGCAGAAATGGACTCAGAGCCTTACCCCTGGGACGCAGAGACATATTCTCTGCTCAGCTCTGCTCGTTATGGGTGCTGCAGTGGGCCCATCTCCCTGGGCTGTGGGGGCTGAAGGAAGGAAGATGTAGATATTCTTTGTTTTCTCATTAGAATGCTATCCTAATACCTTGAAACACTCTGGAGCACGGTAGTTAGAAGCTCAGAGGGCACCTACTTGCATGGCTTCATTCTATAATACTATATGTAATCATCATCATTCACATGCAGTTTGCTATTATAAGAAATTTTCTATAACAGCTAGCAATAGGGATAACTTCAGCTGTCAAAGGAACAGCACAGAGAACAAACCAACCACTTAATTTTAAGGTCTATCAACCAGATGCCCAACCACAGCTTCCTTTGGACAAAGGGCATTGCTACAGTCATGATGAAGAAAGCTGCCTAAGGTCCCATGGAAAGTAGGTCAAATCCAACTACTGATATATAAGGTCCTCGGGCTTACCCTTGCAGTTTTACCTTTTTTTTTTTTTAAAGGTCTTCCACTGCAATATATTTATGAAATTAAATGCTTATATTTGAATTCTGCAGAAGTCTGTATTTTATGCACAGCGATCACACACTTCTTACCGTCTTCATTTTCATCCAACGCTGGGGGTTTGCTTGAAGTGTTGGCTCCCATGGTCATCTGCTGGGATCTGGACCCTCCAGTTACATAATCCCGGCAGAACTATTCATCTTCACGCAAAAGAGGTCTGGAAGCTAGATGTCAAGGAGAGAAAAAGAAATGGTAGCCTTACAATACCTTACAAACGGTACTCTTTAAGTATCCTGAGTACAGACTGTGGCCAAAATGTCAATCTGCACCACTGCAGTGGAATTTTTTGTGCTTGAAAATGATAATTTCAGAAATAACAGGGACCAAGCATTTGGGTGAACCCTCTCCATGGCCTCAACAATAGTGAACCTACACCTACAAAGAAGGAGAAAAGCAAAATATTTTTCTAAATATGAAGACAAGTTTAAAATGAGGTCAGCAAGGCTTTAACAACTATAATTTAAAAATAATATTTTATTGTCACTCCATATTTTTGAGAAAATATGTTGATTTTAAACTTTTTTATTTTGATGTGTGATCGAAAACTTTATTTTTATTTTTTTTATTTATAGAAGTATGTTCCCTTTGTCTTTTCTCCTTCCCTGGAAGGTACTACAGTAGAAAAGAAACAAAGTCTGAGTTTGGGTTTTACCACCCCAGCAGGTTGCTAAACTTCACTAAACATGTTTCTTTTTTCTTTCCCCTGAACTTGAAGATGATAATGGTCATTACCACAAAGGCAAATTAAATGTTATTTAATGAGATCATATGTATTTTCACCGCATAAGTGCTCAATAATTGTTAGCTACTCTGAAGCTCAAATTAAATGATGTATCTGAGAGCTAAAAAGCCCTGAAAAGTACATTTATAGCTTTTGTTCATTTTTTTAACATACCAGTAAAGAATTTTACTTTCCCCGAAATTGGTAAGGAGAGGCAAGCCAGAGTTCTGGCTCTAAAACTGACACTGGCGATGGCTTTGCACCAGTTACTTAACATGTCCCCTCTAAAATGGGGGCATCCACAGTGCCTTCCTCAGGGACCCCAGGCTCAGATGCTAGGGAGAGCCAGGCAGGAATGCAAATGAGTGGGCTGGGTCAGGTGGAAGACTTTAGTGCAGTGGGGACACTGGGTCTGGGAGCATCCAGGCTCCATCTAGAAAATGTCACTGCTCCCAAATCTAAGAGATTGTTGTCAAGTGGAAACATGGGTCCAGAGGCCATATTTTCAGATCTACCCAAAATGGGTAAAGAACCAGATTTTATACAAAATATTTAAAAATTAATTCTAGCTACCTGGCCTGAGCTAATCTCCTGCATGGGACAAATACCACTCATGGATATAGTTAATAAGACAATGTATGGAACGCACCCAGCACAATGCCCAGCAAGTAATATACAAAGAATAAATGTTAGCTACTGCCATTTTAAATAATAGCAGTATTTCCTTCTCATGTAATGTTTTTTTTTTATTTGACACCTGTTGACTGATTTCCTCTTAGACTTTTTTCACATGAAGGCAATACAGGTTAGAGTCATCATTGAAGAAAGTGTCCCAAGGGAACCTGGACTAAGGAAGTTATTGAAAATGAACTCGAGGAGCCCCTAAATAAGCCTAAAAGAAAAGCTTATTTTCCAGTTAGGCAAATGTAAGCAAAGCCTTCATTTGGAAGGCAGGCTCATTAAGGAAATGCTACTTTTCATACTAAAAGCCAACCGCTGGCAAAAGTGCCTTATGAACTCTAAAAAGGACCATTAAATGGAAAGCAAAGAAAGAGTCAGCAATTAGGAAGCAACCAATTAAAGGGTATGGGAGAAGGGCGGGGTGGGGGCAGGTGGTAACAGGTGGCTGGAGGAAGCCCCAGGGATTACTGAGATCAGGAAGGTAGAAAGAACTCAACTGTCTCTGAGGCTAAAAAACAACAACAAAGGGCTTTTAATTCCAGCGGAAAAGAGGGTACAAAGAAGCAAGTGTGATGCCCACGGGCTTTAATGTGGGTTAGGGAGAAGCGAATGGGGTGCCCTGTGGGTTCTGTTACTGCATTCGGAGTCCAGAATAAGTAGGGACTAGTGTAAGGGCTGAACTGGAAATGACATTGGAGAGGATTGTCCCTAAAGAGAACACTGATTAAAAAAGAGAGAGAGAGAAAGAACATTGATTTTAAGGAACTGTGATTGCTAACACAGCAGACGGGGAGGGGCTGCGTTCTCTTTCATTTTATATATCAAGCTCCAGCGCACATAGCTTTCACACCACACCCCAAACCTGTCATTCTTATATGTATTTTCTTCACACCTCAGGCTTCTGTCAAGTAGCCCGTCTTCTCGTAACATAAAATGTACCAACCATTGACCTTGCAAGTTGTCAAATCAGAAAGAGGAGAGAGGACTATTACCACAATTTGCCACATTTCAGAATTTCATTCTGATGTACAGTTTGGTTCACCAAAGATCCAGTGATTTGTTTTTTGGTTTTTTTTTTTTTAGCAGAAAGAAACTGTGGAAACAGGGAACTACTTTTGTGTATGTTTGGGGCAGAGGAAGGTGGATGGAATTATTGGGCTACGTAGTTTCTCCACTGCCCCTAACACACCCAGTCCAGTTTAGCATGGTCTTTCTTCTCCCCGTGTGGATAACCAAATTAGACAAGTTTCCCTCATATCCCGAAAAAAAATCAACCTTTCTCTGCTGGGAAAAGGAGATCATCTTTTCCATTCTGCTGAATAGGGGCCAGAAGAGTCAGAGGACTTGCCTCTACCAAACCCCAACCCTCCCTGACCTCCTGGTACTAAGCCTGCATGTAACATAAGCATCCTTTCAAGATGTCAAGAGGACAGTCACCACTCATGGAAATGAACATCCTAAACATAGAAAATATAAGAGAAAGGACAACGTGTCTTATAGGAACCAGGAAATTTTCCGATTCTACCTTGACCTATCCAATTACCAGGCTATCAACTGCAGACTCCTTCTCTAATGCCAATACTTGGCCTGTGGCCTATGCTTTGGGGGGCTATCAGCATGTGAGCTTTTCTAAGCGCCTAAGGCTCCCTAGGTCAAGAGGCATCATCTTCAGGAATCGAAGAACCTAAGTTGTGATGCAAGAAAGTTGCAACCTCTGACAAAACGGTTTCCGTTTCAAAGCCACAGCATGTGCACAAGCATAACTTACTTTGTTCACCTTTGAAAGACAGAACTTCTTAAACTGAGAAGTGTTTAGAAACAGAGGGAAGAAAGAACATGGGGAAAAACACCAAAGTTAACACCACTCTCAGTTACATTGTTTATATTTCACCATCTTTGCTCCATCATATTTACGGATTCAATATTATAAGTAAACATTTCCACTTTAACCCTCATTCCAAGTTCATTCCCTTTTCATGCTTCCCAAAGACAGCTGCAGTCATGAAGCTGGGATGTATTTTGCAGTCCACATGATGTGTTTTAAAGTAAGTCACCTAAGTGACATCCTAGAGTAGGCAGGTATATTTTGCATCTTACTGTGGTCCTTCACCATTATACGTCTGCGATCCAGGCATGCTGATCTCTACAGCTCTGATTTCTGCTTTTTATGTGCTGCATAGCAGTCCATTGTGTGACTACACCACATTTCATTTACCTGTATAAAAATATTCAAATCCTTCAGCTTTGGGGGGCGGGGGCGGGATTCTTGTGGAGATGAAGCCAACCATCAAGGGCAGTTTTTGCTTGTTTAGAGGCTGGATAAGAGAAACAAGCAGAAATGCCTCCAGCACTTATCGCCGTCCAGCAACTATTTATTGAAGTCTGTGTGTGTGTGTGTGTGTGTGTGTGTGTGTGTGTGTGTGTGTGTGTGTGTACCTGAGTCAGTGGGAAACTGGGGGCCTTGGTGGGGTACAATATAGCTAGTAAGCCAGGATTGGCCCCAGCCCTATGGCGCTGTGGTGGGTTATCGTGACTGCCTGCTTTCCTTTTCTCTTCCCTTTTAACTTCCTTGCTTCCCATCAGTGCCCTGAGTAGACTGGTTTATTTAAAAGAAGAAGAAAAAAAAATCTAGGCCACCACTCACCCAGATCTTGGTTCTGTCTCCACGCCTAACAAGAAGCCCCGACTGCTTCCACCTGGGGAGCAGGGGCTAACGGAGGAACTCCCAGAAACGTGGAGAGAGCAAGGAAAGGCACCTACCTGCCCGGGCGCAGGAGCGGCAGCAAGCGCCGGACTGGGCTGGGCGGGCGGGCACCTGCAGCTGCCAAGGGATCCAAGCGCCGCCTGAGCTCGCAGCTCCTGCTGGAGGGGAGGCTCCCGGGCTGGGGTGGAGCGTGGGGAGCAGCTCGCTGGCGTCCGCGCCCTCCTCAGAAGCCTTGGGTCGTTTTGTCGCCTGGGGAAGCGCTAGGCGGGAGGACAGCGCTGCGGGCGTGGCTCGGAGCTGGTGGCGGAGATCCCACAGCGCGCTGCTACTGTCGGGAGCCGCCGGGGCGCAGAGCGCGCCCCAACTTCCCGGACCGAGGCCCAGTTCCCCTGAAGTGACCCGCCTCCTCCTCCCCGCTAAGATATTCAGGCGGCGCCACCGAGGATGGTGGACATGGGGGTGGCGGGTAGGAACCTGCCTGAGATGGAGCGAGGCACGATTTCCTGTAAGACTTTCTCAGGGTATTGCGGGAGATCAGAGAGAAGGGTGCGGGTTTTACAGGTCCCGACGAGAAGGATCTTTTAACCATGATCTTCCAGCAGATTTCCTCATTTTAGTGCTGGGGAAATTGAGGCAGGGACAAGGAACACACTTGCCCAGTGTAATGTAACAATGGAGAGACGCTTGTATGTACCCAGGTCTTTTGGCTCGCAGCCCCCCATTTTTCCCGGGCATCCTACCCTCATCCTCTGCGTGTGGCGGTGGGGGCAAGGGACAGGGGTTCACAGACGAAGGCACGCTCACCGGAAGTTTCTACATCCTCTCCCATGGCAACTCCCTATACTCCCCCTTTATAGTAACCCAACACGTTTGAAATAACCCCTTACTGTTTTCCCTCTAACTGGAGACACACACTTAAGCGGCTGGAGAACTAGCGCATAGGTAGCTTACTGACATGCTGGCAGGCAGGGGTGGGGTGGGGTGGGGTCGGGGCTATGCCACGCCCCCTTCCGTTCCCTATAGGCCAAGACCATGCCTGGCTGCCCCATTGGCCCCCTGCTCCCCATCTCTGTCAAGCAGAGAAGCACATCCTTTAGTGCCTCCTCTGAAATCCTAGTGGAAATACACTAGCAAGGAGGGGTGGGGTGGGGTCGGGTGGGGTGGGGACAGCTTCTCTTCATCTCCAGCATTTCCCTGCCATGTAGAAATGTCAGCTCAGCGCTGCCAAATATTCAGATTTTAAAAGAAAAGCTGGAAATGAGAACGCCTGCGTGAAATCTTCCATTATTTTTAAACATTAGTACGTTTTAAAAAGTGCTTAAAAACTGTGTTGGTTGGACAAGATGCGTCTGTGGCTGAAATGTTGTTTTTAGACTCCCACTTTTTGATCTATCGAGAGAGGGAAAGTTCCACAGAGTGCAGGAACCATATTGGCTTTGTTCCCCATCTTTACTATCCATGCCTAGAATGGTGTCTGATGCATCTTAAATATCTGCTGTAATTGTTGAAGATGTCTGTGGTCACCTTACGGTCAAGAGCCCCATAATTTGCTCATGAAACAAATATTTCAGAGCAATCCCCTTGTAGCATGACCTAGCCCCTTTCCTCTTCTTTCTCCTAAAGCAGCCTTGGGCGACATTCTATGCTAGTACTTTGCAACAGAGAATTAATTACCTTGAACTTGAGCTAACCTACTCTCTCATTTTGCATTTAGGGTCCTGAGGAAGGTATTTGCCCAAAGCCACACAGTGAGTTGGTGGCAGAGCTCACTAGAAACTTACTATGTTGCCAACTCCTGTCTGAGAGAGGATCACATGATACAAGTGAACCTTTAATGTGTAACTTGAGTCAAGTTCCCAAAGAGGGCAACGAAGTTCAGAAAAAAAGCTTTTTAAGGAATTTATTCTGGAGAGAAGGTATTCTTTTTGAGGCAAACATCAGGCACCTGGCTGACTATATACATTGTTTTTGTGTAACATCTGGTAGTGTACAAAACACTTGGATTATCTTCATGGCATTGGAGGTGCCCTCCCAATTTGTTAGACCTGTGTTATCTCCCAGTTTCCCCCAGGAGATAATGATATCCATTTTATCACCGAGAAAACTAAAATGGCAAAGTGGGCTGAGACTCGAACTGAAGTCTCTGGAATTCCCTTCATTTTAGTCTCCTGGTTAGCACAAAGGGCCTTGGAGTCAGGCAATCTTCCATCTCAATGCCTGCCCCCACCGCTTAACGTCTCTGAGATGACAGCCAAGTCACTGAAAGGCCCTGAGAGTCAGTTTCCAACTTCAGTAAAGGGGAGAACGGCCATTCCTACCAGCTATGATTGATGGTGGATTAGATGCGATAATGTATACAGTAATGCACTTAGCACGGTGCTGGGCAGCACAGAGTAAACACTCAGAAACTGTTGTCATATTAATTAGCAGGCTACCAGGTCCTGCCTCAGTACTTCTCAGATCTGTTCTATAAACCTTTCCTCTGTCAGTACAGTCACTTTTGCTTACAATAAAACCACTAATCAGTCCTAATGTATTTAGTCATGTAAAGGCTTGGCATACCGTAGGTTTTATGGGGAAACAGTGATTCTTATTAGTGTATCATATGCAGTCTGTGAAAGGCAGGCCTGTTTCAAAGCGCTGAGCATGTTTTCATCTTTGATTTATTCAGTCACTCATGCTTTTCTTGTCCGTGGTCCTAGCTTAAACATCGCTCTTGGATAAACATTGAGGAGACCAACCAGGCTAGACACTTACAACAATCTCTGGAGCCCCCTAGTGGTGACGAGAGTGAAGTGAAAAGTAACCCAGCGAGGAAGTCTTGTCCCAGATATCCTAGATACGTGGAATTTTTTTTGTTTTGTTTTAAACCATGGCTTATAACATAAACATTAATACCACACCAATCTCACCATGCCCATTCGTGGCTTGAAGTTGTCCGCTGGGTTCCGCTGCATTTAGAATTATGTGCCTTCTCTACGTCAGCTGACCAGGCCTTATGCTGTTCCTCTGCTCGCTTGACTCCAGCCGCACTGGCGTTCTGCCCTTTGCAGACCATTCTGACCTTGTCCTACCACAGGACATTTGAATGGCTCCTCTTTATTAATGGATGTAGTTCTGGACTCATCATTCAGCGGTCGGCTCACATTTCTCCAGCTCAGAGAGACTTTCCCTCAACTCCTTACCTGAAGTTCTTTTCCCACCACTTTCTCCACTCTCCACTGCGCATTCTCATTTCATTCATCTTATCACTTATCATGAACTGTACCTAATTTGCTTATGTCACTTCTTCGCTATGTTTCCCACCGTTGAATGCAGACTTTGTGAAGGCAGGAGTGACATCTCTCTATACGCAATGCTGAGCCAGCGTTTGGTACATAGACAGTGTTTAATTAGATAAATCGATGTTTGCTATTTCCATCATTATTTTCATTTCTTAGTCCAGGGGGAAAATACAAAGAAGACATATTATGCCTCAAAGCAGTAACCATCCCCGTGACATAAATGAACCTTTATTGGGCTATGTTTTAAGGGGGGAAGATAAGTAAGAAATGATTACTGGACATGAGGATTTTGTGGTTTGGGTAGACACAGTAAATACAGCTTCAGACTCAGAGATTCCCAAATAGGAGCCCCTGGAAAGCACTGACTGAATCGGTTAGCTCTGCTGGAAGGAGCTAGAAGCTTTAGTAATATTTGATCAGTGTCTCGAAAGATGAGTGGAGGGTCACTAGACAGAAAGCAGGGCATTCCAGATTTGTAGACCAGAGGCATACAAAAGCATAATATTTTGGGAGAAATATAAAAAGTTTAGTGTGACTAGAGTATAAAGAGCATAGTGCGAGTGAGAGAAGATGGGGGAAGATCTGAAGAATGGAATATACTATGGAAAACAGCTTGAAGTTTAAACATGACAGCGACAGGAGGCCCTCAGATGCGTGAAGCAAGAAAACGGGCATCATTAGTTGAGTTTGAGTAAGATCACTCTGCCCGCTCCACACAAGACACAGCTTTATTTTCCCTTGGTCTGATATGCAAATTATTCTCAGTTACTAAAAAGATGAGTTCTCTCTTGTAAAATAAGGAAATTCTCCTTAGTTATAAAATAAATAATCTGATCTTAGCACAATGTTTCATATTTAGTAACACGTACCACGCTGTCTTCACCACTCAGCCCATGAGTGGGACATAGTTTAATTGAGAGAGTAGAAAACAATACAATGTAATGGGAGCCTTTCATTGCTAGAGTCCAAAATAAAAGGTAGACTTATTATCAGATATTCCCTCATACATGCTTACCAGAAAATCAGCTGAAAAAGAGAAACAGAGGAAAAATGATTATGCATTACAGCACAGAAGAAATGATCATTTATGCCGCCCACTGTATATATACACCCATGTGCCCATTTATTCCACTGAGAGGTGAATAATTTAATTGCTCTTCAGAAAACTTGCACAGTAGAGCCCTGTTGTTAAGAAAAAATATTGTTAACATCAGACAGACCTGGGTTTGTTTCCTGATTCCACCACCTAAAGCTTGATGACCTTGTGTATGTCATTTAGACTCAGAGTCTTTGTTTCTTTTTTTTTTAAGCTGAGCCATCCTGCCACCTGTTGGCAGCTCAGCAGCTGCTCAGCTCGGGCCGGGAATCGAACCGCTGTTGCTCAGAGCTCAAACTCTTGAGCGAGCTCTTAACCAACTGAGCCACTCGGCTGGCCCAGAGTCTTGATTTCTTGATCTATACAATATGGATACTAATGCTACATACTCCCAAAAAGTGTTGTGATGATTAAGTGAGATAAGGCAGGAAAGCACTTAGTGCAGTATCTGGTGCAAAGAGGTACCTAATAACTGCATTCATATTATTGACCAAATGCCTCTCTTTTATACAAAAAGTGACAAAGAATTCCCACCTCGCTGCACCCTCACCAGCACTGACTCTTTTGAAAGATCATTACTAAGATATGATTACAACACTGAACAAGATAGATGCTTTATTAAGGAGCTCATCATGTACCGAACATTCAGAGAAACTCACTGGCAATTTCAATACAGGGTGACAGGGCCATAATAACAGAAGTTAGGGTGCTCCGTGAGCACATAAATGAAGTACACAGTCTCATCTAGGGGTGTCAGCATAGGTGTCACAGAAGAATAGCATCCAAGCTCCGTCCTGAAGGTAGAGTACAAGTTGGTTGTACAAAGAGAAGGGGAAGAGAGAGTTCCAGCTGAGGGAACAGCATGTGCAAAGTTGTGTAGTTGGAAGAGAGCGGGTTGTGTCCAGGGAAGCAGTGGAGCTTTAGTGCGGCCAGGTTGTAAAGCAGGAAGCTCTCTGTACAGAGGGAACAGCAAGTGTAATATCCTGGATGTGACAGACACAGCGTGTTCCCCTGTCAC